TTATTTTAATTTAGTTAATTTATTAGTTCTTTAGAGTACATATTTTTCTAACTGAAAATATAAACTTACATTTTGTATTTTTTATCACCACATTATTGCACATTTACAGGTAAAAGTATCATTTTACCGTTACCACAAGGCATATGCTAAATGATATCAAATTCATTTGTATGCCTTTTGAAGGTTGTCTATTCATATTTTTGCTTATTTTTAATCAAGTTGTTTTCTTGCTGCTGAGTTGAATTCCTTATATATTTGAGATATAAAAACCTTGATTCAGATATATGACTTGCATATATTTTCTCCAAATTTATTAGTTGTCTCTTTATTCTCTTGAGTTTTTTTCTTGGCTTTGCAAAAGGGCTTTTTGGTGTTTGGGGGTTTTTTTTTTGTTTTTTGGGGGGGTTTGTCTACTTTTGCTTTTGTTGTCTTTGCTTTGGGTTTATATAGAAAAACTAAGCAATTTTAAATTTTTCTTAAACTTAACAGTTATTTAGGGAATATTTAGCGATTTGGGTCATTGCTATTGTTTTACTTCTAAATGATGAGCAATTTTTGTTTCTACTTCTGATATTTATTCTTTTGTACTATAGTCAAAGAATTGTTTTGCACAATTTCTCATTGTATATATACTTCAAAGTACTTCTGAATTTTTCTTCCATTCTTAATTTCGAATTTTTGTTCAACTTTCTTTAGATTGGTGTGTCTTCAAGAAATTTTTAAGGTTTGTGCATCCATTCATCATTTTCCAGTTAACAGGACAATTATTTTCTTCTAAGAATCTATTTTCTCTCCTATCTTTTTTTCAGTGTTAACAGTATTACCCCTTCTGTGGGTGAGCATGGGATTAATTACTGGCAAATCAGTGCACAGTGACAATCCAGGGGTAGGATACAATTTAGCAAGAGATTACAGTGAGCTTCTGCCCAGAGCATTTAAGAGATTACCCCTCCCCTCACCTGAACCCAGACAGTCAGATGCATCTCATCTGTCCAGACCTACCCCATGGAGTGCAAAGATGAAACCAACCCAGCAAAGATGAGGCAGACATATGGAGGAAACTCAGTCTTAATTTCATCATTTAGTCCTGAAGCTAGCTTTACTTCCAAAGATTTTAGAAATGTGATTCTTAAAATTCCCTTGCTTCCTAAGTTAATTTGATTGAATTCTTTCACACATTCAGCAAACAAATCAGTTATATCGTGCATTTCCCTAATTGTTGTATATTTTGTAACCTATTCTTTATTTTTGTCTCAGACCACAATGTGGCTGTTCATAGAAACTTAGGGTCAGTCTTTTTTTCTTAAAAATATGAAGATAACATTCGAATGCCAAGGGTGTTAATAGCCAATATCATGTCTTCTTGTGGTCCTTATGAAAAAGTCTTAACTAAAGGAGTGGAACGGTGCGGGCAGCTTAACAAAGAAACAAGGACAAGGTGGACATTTCCAGTACAATAAATACTTCTTGTCCTTTACTCCATAGACAGCTAAATTTACAGTTCTTCCAAATAACAAGTGTAGAATAGGAATTGAGAATACTTCAAATTAAGTAGTAGAAAATATTAGTATTAGATATTCTCATAGAGTGATGTTAATTTGATAAATCACAATATAAACTCTGTATGATTGTTCCAGGCAGTCTTACTGTGCAGGCAAACAGTTTGATCTAGATAGTTAAGGTCTTGAAAAATGTTCTATTAGAATCTCTGCTTTTCACCAGGTTTTTTTTATTACTATTAATTTAATAGAATTGTTCTTGAAAAGACAGAGCAAGTCCATCTCCCAGAGACTTTTCCCAGTTAACTAGCATGATAAATTCTACGTAATACTACCCTACAGCTATAAATAAAAGAAAGGTTTAGCATAATGAAACAAGTTGATGTCTCTCATGCTGATATCCTCCAAATCCTGAGAATGTATTTGTTACAATAATTTTGTTTTAGTTTTTATCTTTATGGTGTTGATATAAATAAATTAAGATGTTTCTAACAAATCCTTTTACAGTTAGTAAATCATTTCCCATAGAGTAACAGACATTTATTAATCCCAATTATGTGTCAGGCCATCTGCTAAGTATCAGAAATACGAATGTAGAAGTATGCACATGTGAAATGTAATCTTATGGACACAATAATAGAAATTAGACAGGGTACAATTAGAGGATGAGGCAGTGGGCGGTGGGGATGTGGACAGATCATTTATACTGAAGTAGTAGGAGTGGGGGTTTGTATTCCCACTATAAGAGATGCAGGTAAATAGCACAGAAATGTTTTTCTAAGGAGATAGGGTGCTTTCTTTTATCTGGTGCCCTTCTTATGTAAATTCCACTGGGGCAAGGGATAATTTGACAGGGGCTGCATTACCATGTGACCTGGCAGTCCATCCTCACTCTTCCCAGGGAAGGCAGTTACACTTCCTGCAACACTCAGTAGTACCATTCTGTCATTAAATAACACAAAATACAGGCTCACCTAGAAGCAGAGGCCTGGGCAAATGGACTTCTCAAATCCTCTCAGTCACCCTGTGACTGGCATTCATTCATTGACACAAAATATGCCTCCTTATATCCCCCACTCACTAACACCCTAATCATATCTATGGGAAAGTTCCACATGAAATGCCATAGAAGGTAATTTAAATTCTTTGACAAACTATCATTTTTTTCTTAAATTTTTCTATTGGTACATTTTAGGTACCATTTACGTTTTAGGTACCATTTACGTTTCTCATTGGGAATTGTACCTTTACATGATGCATCTTGGTTCTTATTTTTTCCCCATTCCTAGCCCTCCTTTCACCCCCTCCACCCTTCCCTATTTACAAAGACTTTATTTCCATTTTTTCCATTTCTCAGCATTTTTCCTTTCCCTTCTTTCCTTTCCCCTGCCCCTCCCACTACCCCTGCCCCTTTGGACCTTTTCTTCCTATTTTGTATTATCGATTATTCATTCTAATTACTGGTACATTTTAAGTATACAATATAATGACATTCATCATTGGAAATTTGCACCTTTACATAATCTCTCTTGGTTCTTATTTTTCACCCTTCCCCTGCACTCCCTTCAACCCCTCCATCCCTCCCTATTTACAAAGACTTTGTTTCCATTTTTCCATTTTCTCATATTAATTCCATTCCCTTCTTTCCTTTCCACTACCCCTCCCACTTCCCCTTCCCCTTTGCCCCTTTTCTTCCTATTTCACATTATCTATTTTACCTTTTAGTCCTTATTTACACCACAAACACTATCATTTATTAGTCAAAAGGAACAATTATGTGGAGAAAAGTTTAAACATGCTCCTCAGAAGTAAATATTTTTGTTCAATGAGAAAATAAATCTTCCCTTGCCTACCACTGTTTTCTTAACTGCTCCCTAGCACAGAGTACTGGTAACTGACCAAACATTTACTGTTTTTACTTCCACTCATAGACGTGAGCTCACGAGACAGTTAAGCACACACACACAGATGTACACACATGCCAACTTAGCTTTCAGAAGAAAACATTATTACCTTTTTGGCTCCTGTGTGAAAATTTTAGGTAATCTGATTTTTTTGTGCAGGAATATTTTAGGATACTGCTTTACAAATGCACTGTGAGCTGATACAGCAGTGCAGGAACTCCAGCTTTAAAAAAAAAAAAAGAAAAAAATGAGGAAATAGATTTCAAAAGAAAGATTTCTTAACCTAGCATATTCAGTTAATATTATTATAGTAATTTTTTTAAAACTAAGCCTTCTTAAAATTTTTATTTTTGCAATTGTTTATAGTTGTTTCAATATAAAACAGAATAAAAGTCTATCTAAAATGATTCAGAAATATTTATGTATACATTACTGGATAATATATTTTTCTAAATCTCTGCAATGATTTTTGAAAAATTCAAGCACTTTTTTAAGGTCTAATATAAAGAACTGTTAGGTGAAAAGATGAGCATTTCTTAAATTCAAAGATCAAAAAGACAATCTGGGATGGTTTTGATAAGACTTGAATCTTCTTCATGAGCCATAAACTCCAATGGATAACCTATGTGGACTCCTCTATTTTAAATATCCTCCAAGTGACTCTTCTGGGTAGCCAGATTTTGATCCACTGCAAATATCAAAAATTCCAATAAGCAAAATCTATGGACACAAGGCAAACTGTCTTTAAATGTTAGGGAATAAATGACATTTGTTTCTGGAAAACCTGCCTCATTCAATTTTCAATCGACAACTACCATGAAATGTTGGTCAATTTTTAAAATCCTAAACATACATTTTCACAGCTTATTTCAATAATTAGCAAAAATTATCATCCTTCGAATTGAACACTGACAAGCATCTTGGTCAATATTTGCCTCACAGCAATGAATGTAAAAATCCTCAAAAGAAGGCTTTTCTTATTTTATTGTCAATGTAAACACTAACATTTGAAAATATTTATAATGGCTTTTATTTTTTCTTGGCTAAAATTCCTAAAACACTATATTGATACTTTACACAAGATAAATGCTATATACTTTAGGAATCCACTTTTATTTAATTTATCTTAATTGACTTAAACAATAAAGTGTGGATATAATATGACGTTAAGCAATTTCATTCCTTTTCTCATACTATGTGTACACAATGAGTATCCACTCCTTTTTAAAATCTGACTATTCATTTCAATGGAAGAATTTCAAAAATCTTTTTTGCTTTTGATCACCCAGTTCACATATCTACTTGTGGTTTTTTTTAAGATCATACACATGTTAAGATTTAAATACAAATTCACCAGAAATACAAGGATGGAGACTCATGACAAGTGGCACTGAGAACACAAGTAAGCCACATCTAGAATCTGTCACAATCTCAAAGACAATGCAGTTTCTTCAGGAAATATATACAGTATGATGAACAAACATGAAGAGAAACATAAGTAGACTAGAAATGACTCAACATACTTGTTAGATTAGAATATGTGAACAGATTGGATCTTAGCCTGATAAATAAAGTGTTGATGCTAGAATTTTTAAAAAGTAAAAAAATCTTGCCAAAAACCCAGTATATGCATCTTTATGGAATAATTTAAAATTACAAAAGTGACAGTTGGGCTCTATTACGTCAGGCCATATAAAATCACCATTTTGTAGATAAAAATGGCAGAATAGTTACATCTTGTATAAATTAAATGCCATCAAAGTGATAACATTAAGAGAATTGCTGTATAACTTTGTAAGACAATTGTTGTATGAAAATAAAATATGAAACATTTCTAGAATAGAAAAGCCTTCAGGATCTGTATGTCCCCCCGGTTTCATCTGGCAATATCTAAAGATGTTTTTGATTGTCACAACTTGAGGGTGGGGCAATGAGTGTCGCTGGCATCTGGTATGTAGAAGCTAGGGATGCTGCCAAACATTCTACAGTGTGCAAGACAGCCCTACTCCCACCCTCCCAAAGCACATCAGGAGCGCCAGGTTGAGGAACTGCTCTAGAGGCTGTGTTAGGCCTCTACCAATGGAGGGTGACCTGGGAGAAAAGAATGGCCTTGTCTGCCTGTCTCTGTCATCCTCCCTTCCTTCTTTCACCATCCCTCCATCTTCCATTCCCTGTCCTCTTTCCTTTTCTTCCTATGTAAATCCTCCCAGAGTGGTGTCAGCATTGCTAAGAACCAAGGAGGGGTAAGAATTCCTGCTTTTGCAAAGACATTGAGCAAAAGAACCTACTTGCAGACCCTGAAGGCTTTCCTATGCTATAAAGAATGAATCCTGGGATATTCTCCTGTGCTTCTGACTCCTAACTGATATCTTATTTAAATGTACAATTGGAGAGAAGAGTACTATATTTACAAGGGATATTGGCAATCTTAGGAATGATGGTAGAGAATGGAGTGGAATCTCTGCTCTTTAGGTTTATCCCTGGGATGTTTCTGGGCTGAAGGCAAATGAGTGTCATGAACAGATTTGTAGGATATGTGCTGCTCCACACTGGTCCCAATTATCATTTTGAAGTCAAAGTTTAAGGATATGAATAGATGCATACAGGTGCCTGTCAAAAGGGACTGAAGAGCTGCATAGAGGTTTAAGTCAGCAAGCATCTTCAGGCAAACTAGAAGAGTGTTTCATTATAGAAGCAGGCTAAGGAATCAAATCTTAAATGTAAGGCAGGCATAGAAAATTCTTTAAGTTTTAGAGAACTAAAGGAATAAGAATCCAATTTTAGTTGTGCATTCTCTGTTGTGAGACAGCCATTAAGAAGAACTACCTGCTGGAATTATTTCAGCTTTTTAGCTGGAAGCAGCTTATAAAGGAGCACTGCTCCATGCCCTCAGGCTTTTGAGTAAGATTCATACATTCAGCCATCCCTTCATTAAGCAAAATGAGGAAAAACTGGACCCCATCAATAAGGTGGAAATACATCCCATTCACATAATCAAATGTTGAAAACATCAGCGAGATTTGATGCTGCTCCTTGGGGGACCAACAACAGTCTTTGAAATATCCTGATAGAGTGTCTCAGCAGCAGTTTAGGGACATGTGTATAGGCTGAAAATAGCAAGGCTCATAGTTTCAGCTTCCCAGCTGTGAACGCTTGTAAATGAAGACAATATGTGACCCATGCCACATTGGCTGGTGTTCAGCTGCTCTGTAACAAAGCTTCAATGGTGACTCTTACATTCCTTTCCTGGGCAAGGGTGCTGGTGAACTTGGAGGAATGACTTGTCTTAGATGGTATGAGTGAGTGGTCTCATGGTCTCAGGGCATGTTTCCTGCAGAAGTCAGAATAGCTGGTGGTTTCTGTGGAGTTGTGACAGATGTGCTGATGGTCATGACTGGTGAGTCCTGAGGCTGCTTGCTTCAGGGAGAGGGAAGAGTCCTGTAAACAGAGGAGAGAGCCGGTGCCAGCAGGCGTGTTCTTTCCCGTGTCTCCATGAGGTCACAAAATCTTGTGCATCTAAAACAGGTGCAGCCCGGGTTGGAGACAGAGCTGCGATCCTCTGCCTCTATCTCCACAAGAGGTGATCACCCTGCTGTCGTGGCCTACGAGGAGCTCTTCGGGGGCTGGACGATGGACGCCGTGGCCCGCAGCATGGCCTGCATCAGCCGTGGCCGCTCCTGCTGCACCTTCTGCGGGGTGCTGCGCCGCCGCGCGCTGAAGGAAGGGGCCTCTACTTGTTTTTATTAGGCACTTGTTATGGTACATGTGCGGTAGTAGGATCTTTACACTATTTTTATCTCTTTGCATACTAACATACTCTAATAATGTGCCTATACTGTATTGCCTATTCTATACATAAAGAATCTGTGACCTTAATAATTGACATAATTCATGTAACTAGGAAGTGGAAGGTACATGGTACTATACTAATGAAAACTGAATTAACTCCAAAACCCATTCTCAAAATTGCCAGGATATTGCTGCCAATTAATAAAACATGTTTGTCCTTGCCCTGTGACAAGCACTATTCTTGGCAATTTACAAATAGCAGGTCTTTTAATCCTTGTACAACTATATTAGCAAGATACTCCTATCATCCTCATTTTGTATATGAAGAAACTGAGACACAAAGTAGTACAATAATGTGACCTTTTTGCCTATATGCAGCCCATGCTACTTGCCTTGGAAACTTATTCTAATCTGTGACCTGGATAGATCATCTTTAGGGTGGCAGAGTTTATACCAAAATACTGAAACTTTTAATCTGGTCACTTTTCTACATGTATCATTGAGCTACCTCCTTCACCCAATCCTGGAGAAGCTCCAAGATGTGAAGGCTGGTGGACATGGACCCAGTGTTTATGATCTGAGACTTCAAAAGTAGGGTGCTCAAGAAGGAAATATGTGGAAGGCTGACATGGAAGAGTCAAATGCAGTTAGAGACAACATGATTCTCAGATGGAATCCCTAAGCGTCCTATGACACTGAGGATGCATGTTCTATCTCATTAAAATGGAGTTTGGCAGTATAATTCTACTTCTGATCACTTATAGTGAAAGATCACAAAATTAAATGTTGAATGTGGCCAGGGGTTATAATATAGTGGAACCAACATGAACGAACTAATGTGCACATGGCCACAAAAAAGGAGCGATGGCCCCACTCATAAAAGATTACAATTTTTGGTACTAGGACTCAAACTCAGGGCTTTGCGCTTGCCAGGCAGGCACTGCACTGCTGAGCTATATCCCTGGCCCTAAGAAAAGTGGGAAAAAAGAAATTTTTTTTAAAGACCAGGGCCAGAAATTTAGCTCAGTGGTGCCACCGCCTATCTCTCAAGGGCGAGGTCCTGAGTTCGATTCCAGGTACAAAAAAGCCCCTTAAAAAAAATAAACCTTAGCAGAGTGTGGTGGCACATGCCTGTAATCCCAGCACTCAGGAGGCTGAGGCAGGAGGATCACTGTGAGTTTGAGGCCAGGCTGGGATACATAGTGAGACCCTGTTTCAAAAAAAAAAATCACTTTTTAATGTACTAATAAAAGACCAACATGGTCAGATCCTTTTTAAAAGTAATCAGAGACCTGAACTCTCAGTATATCTTCTATTGTTTAAATGTTAATAACGTCTGTGAACTAAATTGTGTTCCCATCTAAAAACATGTCATATGTTGAAGTTCTAACACACAATATAACTGTATTTGGGGATACGTTACTACAAGGGAAGTTGAG